TATTATATATTATATGTAATATATCTATATTTATATAATTATATATATATATATATATATTATATATATATACATATATATATATATATATATATTATATATATATATATATATATATATATAATATATATATATATATATATATATAATATATACATATATATATATATATATAATATATATATATATATATATATATATATATATATATATATATATATATATATTATATAATATATATATATATATATATATATATATATATATGTATGTATATGTTATATATTGTATAGTGTATATATATAATATAATATATATATATATATATATATAATATATATATATATACATACATATATATGTATATATATGTATATATATATATATAATATATATATATTATATATATTATATATATATATATATATATATATATATATTATATATATGATATATATATATATATATCTATAATACATATATACTATATAATATATATATATATATATATATATATATATATATATATATATATATATATATATATATATATATATATGATATAGATATATATATATATATATAGAAGATATATAGATAGATATAGATATGATATAATATAGATATAGATATATATATAGATATATATATATATATATATATATATATATATATATATATGTATATATATATATATATATATATATATATATATATATATATATATATATATATATATATATATATATATATATATATATATACTACACATATATAATGACATATATCTACATTCATATGGGTATGTATATGCCACATACTTATCGATAAATTCCCATCAAAAACCTTTCTCATGTACTCTAAAGTTATTCATCTCTCTGACTAAAACAGGAAACAACAGGAAAACCACAAAAAGAATTGTTGCAGAAACATTTCAACTCGCGAAAGTTTGCAAAGTCTCGTGAAAAATTGTGTTCAGATTCTACATGAATCTTGCAGTCTTTAGCTCCAGCAAGGTTGACTTTCTTCGAATTATTTGTACAGAATTATTCAAATTTTATTCTGTTTTAAAGATTATCTGTGTATCTTTTTTTTCTCGAAGGTTCAACTAGTTTAAATTTTGAAAAAGGGAAAGAATCTGAAATAAATATATTGTCTTCTAACGCTATTAATATCAGTTAATTTTTCCTTTGCGTCTGATATAACTTTTATTTCGTTTTATTGTGGTATTATTTCAACATAAATTCGACTGTCTTTCTACTTTCCCATGTTTTTGTTCTACGTTTTTCTGAATAAGGACAAAAACAAAGGTCAAAAGTTCGTCTAACAATACGTATTCATTTCCCGAAAACTTCTGTGAACATTGCCTAATAGTACCGAAAAGTTATGAGACACCAAACACATATATTTTTCGATCTCAAGACAAACTACATCCTCTCTCATCAATTTCTTGCTCAATCGTTCATAAAACAAACAAAACATAAAGACAAAATATCTTTCTTTTCTTTTCTTTTTTCTTTTTCATTTTTTTCCTTTTTCTTTTCTTTCCTTATCTTTTCATTGTTTTTTTTCTATTTTTCTTAAGTTCGCTTAAAGATGTGACCTTAACGACGATTTTCTTCAACAACGGGACTTTAGACGACTTAATTTCTCGACGACGGAAATTCGCCGGAACAAACTTTGGCGAATTTACTTTCTTTCCGGAAAATGTGAATTCAAATGGTTGTTATTAAAGGAGGATGACGGTGCACGGTGAGGCCAGTAGCGAAGAGGGAGGCGGCGGAGTAGGTCGCTGTGCGTGACGATAGGTAGGAAGGTTGACTACAGCATTAAGATCCGTGGGATTTTCGACCTACAGAGCACATGGTCTCATTTTCTGTAGCCGGATAAAGCTGGCTGATTTTCGTTTTTGTGAGTTGTTTGCTTATTAATGTTTTGTCTTTAAAGAGGAACAAATTTGCTTCTTTAAAAAATCTGTATATGTACACATATACATAAATATACATAAATATATATATGTATACACATAAATGAAATAATAAATAAATAAATAAATAAATAAATATATATATATATATATATATGATATATA